TGTATCACTATTAAAAGCCCTAAACAAGGGAACTACAGTTGAGTATCGCCACTGAACTTTACTTTATATGGGAACAGGTTGGTTTTCTGAAACTGATAGCAATGCTTCTGGAACAATGAGCTAGCTGGGTGGGGGTTTTTTTTGTTTTTGTTTCGCATGTCTGTGTGTTTGTTTGACATTCAATCAATTATACATATTTATATGCATATATGCATGCTTTATTTGATTTATAACTTGACTTTAAATACAGAATATAAAATAGAAGTAAAAATAAAAATGAAGCAACAATTAAAAACCTAGTAAAGGGGATGCTAATACCCACTAATAATATAGTAAAATAGTGAATGTAACCAATACTATGGTTTGTCTTGATAACAATCCTAGCAGAAGTATCTTCTATACATGCACAAGCATGATCAGACCTGAGGAAGCTCTCAGCTCAGCCACACCAAAACAGCTGCTTCAAACGGTGGGTTCCAAATGGTTTTGCACAAACCTCACCAGGATGAAAAGTAGTAGAGAATTAATATCAGCCTAGAAGCTGCTGTAAAATGTTTGGTGCAACTGTTTTATGAGTCATTTTTAAAAATATGGTTCACATAGCAAAGTTTCTGTTCCAATACAAGATGTAGGAAGTATTTCTGAAAAAATAAATATAAAGGAAAAACTAACCTGGTTTTCAGTGAATGCGTGGGATATTTCTTGCCATGTGGATATTTTTAGTATGGTAAGAAAGCCAGTAAAATGAGTTGATCAGATTAGCATACTTGGAGTTTTTATTCATACATCAATTTGCATTTTACATTAAGTTGTCCATCTTTAATAGAACAAGCAAATTGTCATTATGTAATGTATCTGAAGTGCATTCTTTCTTGATGAATAGTATGAGATAGTGTTGTATAAATGAGTATGCGCACACATTTTAAAACTGTTGCCATGCTTTTGTATAGCAGCTGAGAAGCCATTAGCAACACATTTAATTGATTCATGTAAGACACATTGCAAAGTAACTAAAAATGATAGCACGTGTATAGAACAGTTTTGCCTGTGTAGGAGATTTACTCACACATGGAAATTGCAACATCATTATTGCATATACTGCAGAGAGACACAATGAAGAAAACATCAGGATTCAGTCTTTTGACATGTCAACCACACTATTGAGCTATTCACTTTTACAAAATCTAATGAAAGTTGGTGCAATTATGCACACATATATGTATGCAATGCATGCAAGAAGTGGATGATGAATATCTGTTATCCAGTGATAGAGAAAATTACTGCCTGAGCTTAGTCTCACTACCATTTTATAAAAGAGTTGTGGCTTGACCAGATAAATCATGGTTTTTAAAAAACATTCTTTTAAACATCTCTAACTTGCAATAAAAAATAAACAATTATATTTTTATCCTGAGAAAAATCTGGATTTTTAATGTCTGTAAATAGGATTCCATGAACATTAAATCAGAACAGCTATGTTCATTTAATCTGAAATCCTCAGTAGACAGTACCCACATTCCTAATTTAATTCTCTTTGTGGTTACAAGATATTACACTTAATGAAGCCAGATAACCAGCAGAGCTGATTGCCATTTTCCTCATGATTTGACTGGATTGAGACCAAGTTATTTTTAAAAGGTTCAGTTGGATAATTGCTCTAAGTCATAAGCTAATTTGTTTGGCTTTAGCCATTGTGTTCTAGTTTGTTAACCATGATTTATAGTCTAACATAATGTATACATCCAGCCATATATCCTAGTATGATATATACGTCCAGCCAATTGCTGCTAGATATGACTAAATATGCTGTGGCTTAGCACATTGTGGGAACCCAGTCAATGATATCAGTGTCATGACACACACAAAGGCTGTTGATTTAAATTGATCTATTCTAAATATGAGTAAGTTTTAAACCAATCACAATAATTTATAACATCTACTTTTAAAGTCTATTAAAGTAGTGGACACCACCAGAGTTTATACCACGAGTTCCATTAATTAATTGTGATATATACTTATCACAAAAATTAACCACCTTTTGTGATGAAACTGCAATTTATTTTATAAATGAGATGTAAAAAATATGCTCAAAGTTCAATAGTTCTGACAACATTTTCCATAGGATACATGAACAGGCAGCTGTTTTTATCTTTCTAAATGTCTCCACGGTTTCTGAGTTCAACATCTTTTATTCCTCCAGTCTGCTGTCCTGTTACAACTGCAAGTCTGCTGAATGGAATTATTTTCATAATTGTTTTCTTCATGGAGTACCACCGGCGGCGCCAGGTTGACCAGACAATGCCATTGTCATAGCCCCTTGGACCAGCATCTTTCTCAGTGTAAAGACCTCCTAAAATGTGAAAAATAATGTAAAATGTAATTGAGCCATGAAATATTTTTGCATAGCTTTGAGATCTCTATGTAGTAGTTTTAAGACCATGCTGGATGAGGATTACATAATTCTCATTTACTCTATAATCCAGTATAATATAAACGGTGTTAAACTGCTATAGACACACTGTTTCTTTTCACATTTCTGGATAAACTATAATTCAAAGTTGGAATTTGCTACCACAAGATGTGCTGGTTACCAGCTTGGCTGGCTTCAAAAAAGGGTTGAATCAATTAATGAAAGTCATGGGAATCAATGGCTATTAACCTTGATGGCAGTGTGACTGCCTCTGAAGGCCATATGCTTGGAGACTAGTGGGCTTCCTTGTGCAGTTGGTTGGCCACTGTGAGAATAGACTGCTAGACTAGAGGGGCCAGGGGTCCAATCCAGCAGAGATCTGCTGGATCTGCTGCTTATGTTTTTATGCTTATTTAGAAGTTTTATGGAGTTTAGTAAGATTGATCTCTTAACAGGAATGTTCAATTTGGGTCTGATAACCAAGAAATCTATGTTGCAGACATTTAGCTTTCTTAAAATACTTGAGATGGAAGCTATCAAAAGACATTGTTCAACTAATCTCAGCTTTTCCTCTTTAATGATATTTTATGAGTTTTAAAAAAGACAAAAATTGTATGATAGAAAGGCTACAAATTAGTGTCGTCTGGACCTCCTCAGTAAAAACTACTGGGAAAGAGATAAAGCAATTGCATGAAAAATGTTTCATCCAGAGATCTCATTGTGCCTATGGGAAAGTTCCAATTATTACCTTTATAATATTTGCCATTCAGATGACCAGCATGACATCTGTTCATCCACCATCCAGATCCATCTTGTTCAGCGCAGTTGCCTTCAAATTTATCATTATCATTGTCAGGTGTGCTAAATTGCATGCCATTGTGAGAAGTAAAAAATTTGTCACTTGGATCATCTCCAAAATCAAACCCATCAAAGGCATCCCCAGCTTCACCCCCAACAAAGTAGGCATAGGTCAAACGGTACTTATCAGCTTCATTTCCCACTTTGAAATGGGCATAATCTGCATAGCTGTGAAAAGAAAAAGAAATAAAATAGCCATTAACTTGTTGTGGTCTTTCATTCCTTGGACATTCAGTTGGATGTCCTGATGCAAATATTTCAAGGGCATGTGTTTATACTTATTCCCTGAAAAATTATTAAAGTACTTAATTTCAGGAGTTATACAGATGCACAGGATCTGTGTAGACAAGCAAATAATGAATAAAATATGCTCTTTCTTGCTGCAGATACTGCTGAAACAAGCAACTCTTTATCTGAAAGAGCTGAAGCAAACTAACCCTAGGTGATATTATAATGTCTTCATATTTTGTTCCACTAAAACTAATGGATAAATTGGCTAAAAGCAATTTAAGTTCCACTAATTTCAATGGAATTGAAGTATGTTTAGTTTATAGCAGTATTACCACCAGATGCAGTGATCTTATTGTGCCATTTATTTGTATGCATATGTAAAGTGCATGTAGTTAAAATAGCAATTTTTGCCCATTACTGTTAACTATGAACCTTGAATTGTATTGTTAAAGAAATCTATACCTTTTTTGGTTACTCCAATCCTCCAGCTCTACTCTCAAGGCATATGGAACAGTTGTCTGAGTTGTTATTAAATGAATCTTTTCATTTCCCAACCAGAATTCTGTATTGTCATTTGGTGACAGATGTCCAAATCCTTCCTTATACTGAATCCAGTTTTTATTAAAATCTTCACTTCCATCAAGCCTCTGACAATAAAATAGCAGAAGATGGAGAAAGATTATATATTAAGGGGACTAGCACTCCTTTGTTGTAATTCCCTTTTCTGTGATATGCTTACCCTCTGAAAAACTGTCCATCCGTTGCCCAGAGAATCAATTTCACAGTAGACCAGGAACTGCTCCTTGGCTTTCAAGGGTTTTATGAAGTACAGCCCACTCTGCTGTGCACCTTTATTGGCAATGTCTTGACAGTCTATAATTAATATGTAAGAGAGAAATAGTATTTAACCGCAATCCACTATATTCATTTTTAACGAACCTTAAACTCTTTATCTTAAATGGTGAGTCTCCCTTTTTGCTGAAAGAACTCATAACAAAATACATATTTTAAAAATCTCAGGCTTCTGGGTGAGGTATTATGGCTGGGTAGACATCTCTGCGAGCGGCTCCACAAGCAGGGACAACACAGCAGTGGAACTGCCAGTCAGGAGAAGGTTTTGGCTGACAGAAATTTCTCCGGAGGAAGGAGAAATCGGAGGATCACCCACCTATGCTCTGCGAGAGCTGCTCCTCACAAGGAGACCACAGGAATTTAGTTTCTTGTGGTTGATCATGGGTTGAGCAGCTTGGGAGTCGAGGGATTCACAACGTACCCTAAACTGCTGTGTAGTCTTTATGGACATTTGACTGGCAAAAGTCTCACTTTCTTAATCACTTTATGGTTTAATTGCTGTACAACCTAAGAGAGATATTCTGAACAGCAGTGAAGATCACAGGCTCTTGGTGAGTGCCTTCTTTTTGAAATTAAGAAGAGAGAAAAAATGCAATTTTAAAGGATTTTAATTTAAAAGCAAAAAGCTTAACAAGATTGTGATCCAAGGAAGTTTCAAATGGAAAAAGGAGACAGTGATTTAAAAAAATAGAATAAATATTTTTTTATGATGAAAGTGGCTTTGAAAATAGTAAAATTAATTAGACTAACAGACCAGACCTTTGTGGGAATGTGGATTGTTTATTTTTAAGGACAGCAGATAACTGGTGGATTTACAAAACAAAAAGATAAGAGTAATATGAGCCAGAATGTGTGACTGTAACTGTGACTATGGACAGCCAATTGGGACTAGAGTCTTAAAAATAGAGAGAAAAAAACAGAGAGAGAGAGAGAGAGAGAGAGAGAAGAAGAAGCAGCCTGCCCTTTACTTTCACCATAGTAATTGACATACTTTCACTTTCTTACCATGGCAATAAGGAAAGCTGCCAAATTGGGAGAAGGACATAGGGGTTCACTGGAACAACTTACAGATAAAGGCATTTCACCAGATTTATTACAGAAATTGTTTGAAGAATTTGGTAAAAAGATGACTGCAACAGAAAAAAAGGAAATGGAAGAAGGATTTACAGAAATGAAAAAAGATCTGAAAGAAGTAGTTAAGAAAATTGAAGAATTTGTAGGGCAACTGGCTGCAGATTTAAAACAAATTACTGACAAAGTGGATGTTTTGGAAAGTAAGACAGAAGTTATAAATAGAGAGATGGAGAAGGATTTGACAATTTGGCATTATTAGAACTGAGAAAAAAAGAATTTTGCTTAAGATTTATAGCAATTCCAGAAGGATATGGAGAGGATATTAGAGAAAAGATTGTTAAGTCTCTGTCTAATTTCCTGGATTGGGAGGAAGATAATACTGATAAAGAGATTGATAAGATCCATAGGATCAATACATGTTTTGCAAAGTTAAGAAATTTTTGAAGGGATGTCCTTGTGCACTTTGTCAGAAAGAAGACAAGAAACCAAGTTCTACAGCAGCATTTTAATACTAGACTGAGGACTAATAATACAGATGTAATTGTACTTTAAGAAATTCCAGTTAGGATATTATGCAAGAGAAGAGAGTACTTTTTTCTGACAAACTTAAACAGAAGAAAATTCCATTTATGTGAGACAAGTCATAGGGGTGATTTTTACTTTCAGACAACGATTTAGATTGAACTTGGTGCAGAAAGCAAGAGATTTTTTTTTTTAAAAAAAATTAAATAAGAACTGGAGGAGAAACAAAGGAAGTGACAATGACAGATGAGACTAAACAAATGCCATGACAGATACAAGACACTGAAGAGGATTCCACATTGGGTGCTACAGGTATTGACTTTTCCAAAATCTTGGAC